AGGAGGTGGTTGGGGGGGAGTTGTGGCATTGCGGGGTAAACCCCCGAGGTGGCTTGGGAATAGGTGGGACGGGTGGTGGGGATGGTGGAGGTGGGCATGATGGGTTGGGAGAGGGTTTGGGAGTGCGGGGGGCGGAGAGGGGTGACATGGATGGGCGAGGAATGAGGCGGTGTGCTGGATGCGCCAGATGAGGGAGGGGGGAGTGGTTTGCACTGTGGAGGTTGGAGTGGTTTGCACTGTGGAGGAGGGAGTGGTTTGCGCGGTGGTGACGACCGTGATGGAGGAGATGGTCCCTTCGAGCATGGTGATGCGGTCGCATATGGACGACATGTTGGCCTTTATGTCGTCGAGAGAGGCGGTGACGGAGGTTCGGATGGTGTTGAGTGCGTGGAGGATGGCGGAGAGGTCGAGGGTGGCGGTGTTTGCTGGTGGTTGTTCGGCTGCAAGGTTGTGGGCGATGCTATCAACTGAGTCGGTGCGGATGTCAGACATGTTGATGGAGGATGTGGCCACGTCAGGGCAAGAGGGGGTGGAGGACGTGGCCTGAACGGGTGTGGAGGATGCCGCAGCAGCGGCGATGTCGGCGGCGGCACGTTGGGAGTTCTTGGTTCGGCGTGGTGGCATGTGGAGGGTGGGGGGGGAATCCCTTATTTATTTATCAATAAATTCAAAAATAAAGATAATCGCCAAGTTTTTTTTCCAAAAAAAATAAAATAAAATATAAATAAATAAATAAATAAATAAAAATAAAATAAAATAAATGTTGAACAGAAAGAGATAATTAATTTTGAAAAAATAAATTTTAATGTAGATTTAAATTTATTTACAAGAAAACGTGAAGTTTTGAAAGAAAATATTTTTGAATTACGGGGAAAAAAAATAATAATAAATAATAATAATAATAATAATAATTCTGAAAAGAATTAGGAAGAGGAAATTTTTAAAATATTTGGCAAGAATTTTGCAAAGGAAAATGTCGACATTTCAGAAAAAGGATACTTAATTTCGAATAAAGAGATTAATTCAGTCGTGAATTATTTGAATTTATTCGAATGAGGAGTTTAGAATAACATTTTTAAAAGAAAGGTAGTTCCGAATTGTAAAAAGAGTTTCGAATTTCAACAAAAATTGCGAAAAGAAATTGTGAATTAAAATACTGGGAAAAAGAATTATTAGAATTATATTTGGAAAAAAATAATAATAATTCTAACGTATTTTCAAAAATTTTGAAAAAAATAAAAATGAAAATAGAAATTAAGTAGAAATGTTTTGAAAAAGAAATGTTGAAAAAGAATTAAATTAGGTCTAAAATATTTTCAAAAATTTCGAGGAGAAAAACGAATGAATTGAAAGTAGTTTCGAATTTCAAAGAAATGTCGAAAGAGGAAAAAAAAATAAAAAAAATTCTAACGTATTTCGAGTTACGAAAAGGAAGAGTTTGATTAATTCTTAAATGTTTTCCAAATTACAAAAATTCCGAAAAAGAATAAGGAATGTTTTCGAATTATGAAAAAGAAATGTCGAAAAAGAATTTAATTAATTCTGAAATTTTTGAAAAAAAATCAAAAAAAGAATTGATTAAACTGATTTTCGAATTTCGAAGATGAAATGTCGAGAGAGAATGCTTAATCCTATGTATTTCGAAAATTTCGAAAG